TGGCCTAAGCTACCTTGTAACCACGAACTAGATTTAATCCACAGTCCTCTCCTGAAGCCCTAAAGAAGCTGCAACTGAAGTTTCTCAGCATTGCAAAGTATTAACAAGCTCCAGGTCCTTTGACCTTTCTATGAGCTTTTTACAGAAGGCAGTGGTTGAGGGTAGGCCAGCTTTACTCCCCTCCTGAGAACCTCCATTCTGCACCTAGCTTGTCTCAAAGTCAGATGACACTTGAGGAAATTTGCACATTGCTTGTCAAGTGTAAGCTTTTTTTACTAGAAAATGGTGTTTGTTTCCTTGAGATTACAAAGTGGTGAATGGTGCTCTATGAGCTTTTCAGTGAAGGCAGTGGTTGAGGGTAGGCCAGCTTTACTCCCCTCCTGAGAACTTCCATTCTGCACCTAGCTTGTCTCAAAGTCAGATGACACTTGGGGAAATTTGCACATTGCTTGTCAAGTGTAAGCTTTTTTTACTAGAAAATGGTATTTATTGTTTCCTTGAGATTACAAAGTGGTAAATGGTGCTTGCTGTTGATAATAAAATAATGCTTATGGGATGAAAAATAATCCTGCAGTGAGAGGCTTTAAGTAATCTACTACTTGGAAAACAAACCCTGAATTCTTAGAGTTCTCTGAAATGATAATACTTTTTATCATTATCATTTGCACTTTTCATTACAGCAAACCTAAAAATGTGTTGGAAAACCTGCTGCTGCACAAATACAGCATGTTCTTGGATTTTGAATCATCCATGGCAGTTAATAATCTGGTCTCCTGAAGGATTTGATTTGAAGGGTGGCATTTTTGACTAGACATTTAGGAGACCAGAGCATGAACTGTAGGTGTGCTGTGTTGAAGGGGTGTGCTCCCTGCTGTTGTCAGGGACAGGGTACTGAAGCTGGCTGGACTTGAGCAGGTTTAGAATGGGTATTTTCATGGTAAAGTGAATATACAGGAGGGAGTTTTTGTTCATGACAGGAGAACTAAGGAGTGCCAAGTGAAACTGAGGTGAGGTGATTCTGGCACTCGCCACTGGAGGATGTTGTGAAGGTCAGAAGCCTGTGCTCAGAAAGTGTCCTGGGTGCATTCAGGAGGGCTTCAAGGTGGGCTGCTGGGCATCCTGCTGCAGGTGAAACCCCAGCTCAGAAGTTTCTTAAGCTGATTCTTAATGATAATTGAGGTTATGGAGAGGATCTTGGGGAATGATCTTTTCGTAAACGCCCTTAAAAACACCTCCTGCAAGTAACTGTCAGAGTTGGGGTGCCTGGCTAGAACAAACAGTGTAGCATTTCTCAGGGGGGATGAGGTGAGGCTGACTCCTGGCTGAACACAGGCTTTTGGGGTTTTTGACTTGCTGTGTTTGTCAGGCTTGAAATGCTGTTGCTCTTTGAGCTAATACTGATAACTTTTACAGCTTTGAACTTGTTAAGCACAGGGGTTTTTTACTTGCCCTTTAAAATGACTGAGGTACTAGTGATACTGCCTCTGCTAAATTGTGTGTTCCCATAATGTGTTGTGCTGGAACACAGGGGATGTCCATAATTGTGCAAGAGAGGCAATTAACAGCCTAAGATTTTATTGGAGACCCATCACTTGTGGATCAAAATGACCTCAGTTGTTCTGGTCTTCCTGTTAAGAAGTGTCAAGTGCATGCAAATGCTGCTTTAAACTTCTAAAAATGCAACACTTGGTTAAACACTGCAGATGAAAAGGGACACTGCTTAGAGGGCAGGTAATAATTTTCAAAACTCATTTTGATAACAGTACCTGCACACTGAACCAACAGTCACTGGAGTATTCCACTCTTCAATCACTGTTATGAAGAATTTTTTAAAACACATCCCAAGCTGTACCTGCAACTGAGAATTGGAGCAGGCAGTCACCTTGGACAGAGATGGAGTTCAAGGTGTTTGAAACATGCAGGAAAACATCTTACAGATTTATTTTAAAGCTTCCATGAAGTTAGTTTGGATTGTCTGTGGCTGCAGAGCAGTGAAGGTTGGGTGTGGCAGAGGGCAGCGTGCCCCGGGAGGCTGGCAGAGTGCTCTGAGTCACACAGGGTGACCTCAGCCTGCTTTTCACAACACCTGGCTGCTGCAGGGAGGGCAGCCCCATGGCAGCTCCAGGGAAAAGCTGGGGATGTTGGGCTGTGCTTTCCTCCTGCTGTGCAAGCAGCTCTTTAATTAGGGCAGCTCATTTCACTTAGTGTTCTGCACCCGAAGAATTAATCAGAGTTAACAACAGTTCTTGCAAATTTTCTTTATAAGAAAAGCAAGTTCTGTGAAGGAATTCTGAGCAGTTTATAGTCTTTTTTTCACTGATGTTTTATTGGTGTTGAATTTATTCTGTCATTTCCACTGCAGCTTTTCTTGCTATTTGTTCACCATCTGTGTTTAGACTCCCAAAGTTGCCATACCTCAGGTGTGCTCTGCATGGTATTGGTGTGAGAAGGAAGCAATTGCCTGCAAAAGTACTTGATTCATTGTGCATTTCAGTGGTTCTGGGACCTTCTTGATAGAGTTGGGAGACAATTTAACATCTTCAATAGGGAAATCAGATGGAAATAGAACTGTACAGTCAAAATATTTTGCTCATCAGTTTGTTGCAGAAAACTTCCACACATTTCAAATCTTATAAGGCTGGGAAAAGTGCTTCAGCATAAAGCACAGCTTCCTACCTCTCCTGAAGCCTGTGGCATAAGATGCAAGATTAGCACTGTACTCCATGGACTGAAATGTAATACTTGGTGTCCTTAAAGCTGCTACAAGGCCAACAAGATACTTAATGAACTATTGGATGTGGAAAAAGCTTTCACCATGCTCTGACCTTGCAGCTGTGAGCAGATCACTTGGGGACACAGGAAGGGCTTGAATTTATCTTTCCATTTGCAACGTTTTAGTCACCTGCAGGTTAACTGTAGGGGCTGATTCTGTAGTGGGAAGTTTCTAGCTCATTTGGTAGCTGGACAATATGAGACAAATGTTACATATTCTGTGTCTGCCTTGTCAAAGTAAGGCTAAAATAGTACATTTACCATGTAAAACCCAGATAACATTCAATGTGTGGGAAGAAAGTTTCATCATAGCTGAGATTCATTGGAACTTGCAGGATTTCTTTGTTTGCTTATGTATTATTGTGTGGTGTCTTTTACATCTGTCTCTCTCTAAAGTGTGGTTCCCTTGGCTGTGAAGTGCTGAACTCTCATCTCAACAGCTGCTTTTCTGGATCTTTGCTGTGTCCATCTGTGATGCTGCTTTGCCCGCAACTGTGTGCCAGCAGGGCCTGTTTGCCCTCCTGTGCTGCAGGGGGGCTGTCTCCAGCCTCATCCCCCACCCTTTGCAAGGCTCCAAGCCTGCCCTGGGACTGTTCTGCTGCTCCTCCCACAATTAATTTTGTCTTTCTGACCCTTTGCAGCTCTGGATGTGTTGTCCCTGTGGTGAAGGCAGTGTCAGTCTCTTCTGTGCTGCCTTGAAGCTTTGTATTTGCACCCAAGTTTCACTTCATCCATTTGGAAGATTTGAGATCAAACTAGTAGAAAGTGTTTGGGTTTTTTTCACTGTTTATACAGTAAATGTGCTTTCTGGGAACTGTACCTAATTCTCTGCTGGGTTTCCTGGGGAGAAGAGCACAAGCTGTGGGTATAGTCGTTAACTGCAGACAGTCACTAAGTGTGAAGTGTTTAATTTGCATACGGTTTGAAAATGTGACACAAAAGGCTGTGAGACCACAAAGTATATTTGGAGATGGTCTTAAACTCCTTGTTGTGGTACCTTTCCCAGGTGAGGAAGTGCTTGCAGTGTGGTGGAAGCCTTTCACTGGTCTGGTGTCTGGGGAGGCGTCAGCAATGCTGCCCTAGGGTGTGGAGAGCAGACCTGTGCTCTGTCTTGGTTGAGTAGAACCGTTGGCTCTAGGACAAGAAGTTACTCAGAAACTGCACTTCTGTTGGTGTAAATGTGGCACACTGACGTTTTCTGATGCAAGAGCAGTGAGGAGTTGCAGGTTTTACATAGTTCTGTGACCTGATGGTGTGAAGATGGCCTTACATTGATGTAGTGCTTGCCTTGATGCTCAGAGATGTGCCAGCAGACACCTCAACATTCACTTGTCAGCAGATCAAGGTGTGTGTTGAAGCAGGGTTAACTTCTCTTCACATTTTCAAGTGACACTAATAAATAGGATCCTTACTTTGCCTTTACAAATAATGGCGTGATGTGCCCTAGGACATCAAATTAATGGTTTCTAGCACAAATACATTGGCTAATTTAGTCTTTTCCCCCCTTATGAAGGAGCAGTCTTGTAGGGCTTGTTGCTTTCTACCTCACCACTAAAAGAGCTGCAAGTCACACGGTGGTTGAGGTGCTAATGCAAGATGTCAGCCTGTGTGTGGGCTCTGATAAATGAGCTCTGAGAATCTCGTTACGGTGCCATCCCCAGCTTGCCTGCTTGGCAGATTTGGGTTCCTCCTGAGGTGTTAGACTGATCTGGAGCAGCCAAAGTGCAAAGTGTGTTCTGATTTGCTTGTTCTGGTGATGCCAGTGAGGGGAGTGCTGGCAGAGCTGGTAACAGCTAGCTACCAAGCTGCACCATTTTCTCTCGGGTGTATAGTGAGCATGTGTCCAGCTTACCATGGTGGATAGAACTGCTAAAGGTCCTGTTGGAGGAAGGAAGTGTTTACTTGACAAAAGAGCTTTGAACTACAACCCTGGGAAGCAGACATGGTGTTTGGTGAAGTGACAGCTGTGTGAACTTGGTAGATTTTGGTAGATCAGGTGGACTCTTGTCAAGTAACTTACATCAGCAGTCTGTGGGATGAAGCTGTACCTGCTGTGCCTCCTGTTGCAAGCTCCTTGGTGTTCCAACACAACCCTGAGCTTCATCTAGGGCTGCAGTGGTTGTGTCAGAATATCTGTATCTGTTTGTTTTTTCCAGTGATGAATTGGAAATGCTGATGTCAAGCAATAGGTGCCCTAATACAAGTTAATCAGTTTCACTGTTTTACAGATGGGGTCGAGGATTCGGTCTGTTGGGTTCCATCTTTGGGAAGGACAGTGCAATAAATCAGTCAAACAGTGTTTTTGGACTCGTGTTTTATATACTACAAATGCTACTTGGTAAGTATTTATTCAGCTCAGAGCTTAAAATATGTAACAGGTCTGTGGTGATGAAGAGGAGCATGTTATACACTGTGCAGTCTGCAAGAGACCAGATAAATGGCTGTGGTTGTTACCTTTTTTTTAGCACCAGTCTAATGGTACATCTGTCCAAAGGGCTGAACAACCCAACTGATAGTGAGCAATTGCATTTCTTCCTGCTATGCTGTTAATAATATAAGTGTAAAGACAGTGGCTGTACTGGTGTTTTCACTTAAATATATTTAGCATTGGATTGCATGATAGAAAAGAGGAAATAAAAATGGAATGTACAAGTTTTGCAGGAGTAATAGAGATAGCAGGTAAAAAAAAAAGTGCTTGAAGTGTAATGTACACATATTTTGTTGTAACTATGTGGTCTGCTATAAAGCTGTTACTATTGATAGACATAACTTGACCAACCTGTAACTTTCCCACAGCTCAGGAGTAGGGAAGATGGTAAACAGCACACGTACTGCCTACCAGAGGGGTGTCCTACAGAATCTAGAAGCTTCCCTCCAAATAGCAATTTGTCAGCACCTTGAACTCCTGGTATTTTAACCAGCCTTTCTTGTACCACAGGCTTGAGGTGCAGCCTTTGGTGTGAGCTGGGGTGCTGGGGTGTTCTGTGTGTGGAAGGGGGGGAAGTAGCAGCAGTAGTAACTCTCTCTCTCTCTTGTTGCAGGTATGACAGCAAGTGCAGTAGCAGCTCTAATCCTCATGACATCCTCCATAGTGTCTGTAGTAGGGTCCTTGTACTTGGCCTACATCCTGTACTTCGTGCTGAAGGAGTTTTGCATTGTCTGTGTCATCACATATTTGCTGAACTTCATTCTCTTGATCATCAACTACAAACGACTAGTTTATTTGAACGAGGCCTGGAAACGGCAGCTCCCACCCAAACAGGAGTGACACCCCTTGGAACTTGTGACTGACAGTCTGAAGAACCAACTTCCATTAAGTTTATTTTGCAGTAATTTTTTTATTCTCCATATCAGACACTTTCCCTGAGAATCATAACTGAATTTTTAATTATAAATTTGAAGGGGCCCTAGATAATTTTTTTTTTGTGCTAATCTTCGATGTGGTTATAAAAGAAAGCTCTAATACAATCAAAGACAAGCTTTAACTTTACTTTGAAGGAGTTTTAGCCACAGCAAAACCTAGACTCTGTCTCTTCCCCCCTCCACTTGTGAAGTGGGTAACACTTGCTATAAAATATCCTGTATATAAATTCAGGTATAACAAAATGTGATCATGACATTAAATATTCTAGACTAGCATTACCATATTTAATGTTGCCATGTTTACAGTATGTGTATTACTTTTTTTTTTTTTAGCTGATGGACTTAGATTTGACTAGGACTTATACTGTAAATAAAATTAGAAATATTGTTTCCTCCCTGGAGAACTCACTGTACAATCAGTTTTGTTAGCCTAGGAGCTGTCAGAGCGTTCAGCTAATAGTCGACTGGTGTGGTGGAAGAAGTGACCTCTGTAGAGAACAGCTGCACTCACTGCTAGTGCTTTCACAAGAATGATGGTTGGGGTTTTGTTCCATTTTTATTTTCCTTTTTGTCTCCAGTAACGAAAATGGAATTAAAGCTGAAACTTGAAGTATGTTCATTAAACCACAACTTCATGAATTTCTGTGCAGGATGAAAATAGCTCCATGTGGTCAATAGGAAGCTGCCACTGGGATATTCCGTGGAGCTTGGGGGTTGGTGTATCAGAGTTCTTTGAAAGGAGTTAATTTCCATGCAGAGCTGTTTCATTTTTAAGCTGCCATCAGCCAGCCAGTGTTACTAATGTTTGATGTTATATGAATGCTGCAGTATAGAATTGCAAATTGCAGTGGAAACCACTGACTGAGTGGATAACCAAGAAGTGCACTGAAGAAGCAGTTACCCAATTGATCTTCATCAGGATCTTTGCTTTGTGCTATATTGGGAAATGAACTTTAGGCCTGACACACAAGATCCCTTGGAAGGGCAACCTGGTTAGTGGGATAAGTAAGTAAATGTGCTTCTGAAAATGAAATGTGAGATAGTGCTATCATTGCTCTTTCTAATAACTAATTGGGGAAAATAAAAAAATAAAATTAAACTGCCGACTTAAAACAAAGGAACAAAATTGTAAATGTTGTTTCTGCACTCAGTATTCTACGGCTGAATGTTAAAAGTGCCTTCTGTCTTCAAATCTTAAACCAAATACTTTGTGTTGAACTTGGCAGGCAGAAGTGTCCTTGCTTTAAAAGCGAACGAACAAGCAAACCAAATTCTCAGCAGACTTGCTGGGAATAGAGCATTAAGAGATCTGGTTTAGTTTTTAGACTGAGAAGTGGTAGCAATATTGTTTTGGTTAACGGGAATCAATGTGGTAGGAGGTTGAGGATGTGATTTGGAAAAGTAAAATCCTTGTTTCAGACTGACACCAAACTGTTTAAGTTCTGCTACTGTCTGTAATTGGTGCTGTGCTGCTTTTTGCCCTTGTCAGCTCTAAATATGAAGAATTCCAACTGCGTACCCATTTATTTAAAGAATTAGTTTAATTTTAGGATTTTCTTAAACATGAATGTCAGAGACACACTGGTGTTGTATGGCTAAGTGGATTATAAACACTAAGTTGCTGAGGATAAACTTGACTGTGAAACATGCAGTGTTCCATAGAGAAAAATAGGATTTTTAGATTGATTTCAAAAAAATAGTATTTAAATTACTACTGAAGTAATTTTCTGGTTTGTACTGAGGATGTAGGTGGAAACTGCTTTTATGTATAGAGTTCTGTGGTATGAGTAACATCTGTTGCATGTAACACTAAACTACTTGTCCCTCTTGTCTAACAGCTTTAGACAACAACTCATTAAATGCGTTTTGTATTGACTGGAGTATAGTTAAAGCTTGTCTTGATGTTTAGTTCTGTCTCTCAAATGCCTTGAGCTTCGACAGGAGGGGAGTGAAGGATGTGAAACTGCTCCCTTGAGGCTTTACTTTGTCCTCTCCGAGCCTTGAGGCAATACCACCGTTCAGTGTGTTGTACAGGTTTATTTTGCTGCATTCCTGTGACCTACACCAAGGCATCGTTTCCTTCCAAGGAGGAGGTGAAGAGGTGCTGCCTGCGGCGCTCAGCGCAGCGCTGATACCCCAGCACAGCAGCAAGGAGAACAAGTACCATCCAAGATGACTTGGTCCAATTTCTGGGTGTAGCACACACCGAAACAAAAGGATAAAAGCCCCGTCAGCTGGAAGTGTAGGTGTTGACTAACATCACTGTGTCTTGTGCTTGTCTCTGTGGGCATAGTCTGTTCATTCAGTTCGTTTAGTACAATTGTTTAGGGCCAGATTTTGGGCAGTCGTGGCTGCAGCCCTCGTGTGGGTGCACGTAGGGATCGAGTGGAAGCAGAGTTTGGTCTCTGGAGGAGGCTGCAGCCACACTTTGCACATGAGCTTGCAAATCTGATCCTTCGTTGTGAACTCTTGTCCTGTGTGCTTTTCTGGCAGTTACTTTTTACTGGAAGTGATTTGCTAGACATGGCCCCAACTCTCCTACTTTTCTCTCTTGTGCTTCAGAAATGCAGTTGGCCTGAATAAAGGGCAAACTAATAATTAGCAGTAGAAATTTGGACCTTTTTGCTTCTAGTTCTTTGACTCTTTCCTCATTGCTCCCTATGATAGACGCCACTTTTCTTCCAGTAAAATGGCTCAGGCTAGAGTTAACGTGGTGGGAATTGGAGGAGTGCTGCACACAACCACCCCCTGCATGCCCCCAGCCAGAACAAACGTCGTGGCAAACGTGTGGCTGATGATAATTTGACTCTTACAAATCTGAAGGCAAATTCTGAGAAGTCTTGAGGATAAAAGCTAGTAAATAATACCTGGTCTGGCAGAGGGACAGGGGGCATGACACAGATTCTGCTTGTTGTTTCAATAGTTGTGAGAATGGAGGGGGAAAAGATGACTAACATACAAACAGTGGTTCTGAATTTGGGCTCTTCCTCCTTGTCTCTCAGAAGCTCTACAGAGAGGAGTAGATCAGAAAGGCAAAAGAATCTCATCCCAAGACCTGTTTAGGAATTAAACATTCCAAAATCCTCTTACTGTAAGGTACTTGCTACTCTTAAGGCCAACGAAGCATTCAAGTCTTGTTTAGGAAATGAATGGTCTTGGAAATTTCTCCCCATAATGTGTTTGCAATGTTAAGGTAAATGAAACATTCCCAATGTCTTTGAGATCTAAAGTGACAACAAATCTCTGCAGACTGTAGTACGTGTTTGTCTTCAGCTCTACAGAGTCTCTTGGTTATTCAAAAAGATTGGTGAGGTGCTTCAGGCAGCACTTGATGCTCCTAATTCATGTGGGCTGAAGTCAGAGAGAGAGGGAATAGCTTTGGTTCTGCCAACGTTGTTTAAATGTCATTGAGACAAAATGGTCCAGAAAAGACAAAGTATTCTGTTACTATAAAACTGTATTAAGCATGGCCTAAATATTAGGTGTTTATTCTGTATAGTATGTTCCATCAACTATTTATTACTAGTGCTTTAAACTCCAAATTAAACATCCATTTAAATGGAATCATTGGGCAGATGTTCCTTTTATCCATATAGGTTGAGAGATTCCGTCTTGGAAGCTTAGGATACAATTTTGCTAACAGGTAAAACAATGTAAATATGTATGAATTCTATTTGTTGCACATAACTTTTTTGGTATAAAAAAAATAAATGTAGAAATTACCTGTGGATGTCTTGCTGCAATCATTCTTATGCTGCATTCATGCAGTCCAAACGTAAAGAGCTTGAATGAACCCAATCAGAGGCCTTTTTGGACTCAGTCTGAGCCTTAGAAACTGTTTTTTAAGTCAGTACTGTAATTCTGTTTCTAGAAATGTACTAAGTTGTGATTTATTATTTTTTTCAAAGACGTTGTGTTGTAGCAGTGGAAGGGTTAAAGCACTTGCTCCCCAGAGATACCAGTTTATAGGGTTTCTGTCTTGCTGAATGTTGCACACATGGGTGTGTAAAGGTTGAGCAGCATTGACTTGAGGCTTTAGCTGTTTACAGTTCTTTAAGCAACCTGCAAAATCCCCATTCGGTGGGTTATTGTCATTGCTTCCTGCTTCCCTCAGCTCTGTAGGTCAGCTTTAAACCACTGCAACAAGATCACAAAGTCCCTGGAAACTGCTGTATGTTCCCCTGGATTTGGGGGTGGGGGGGGAACTTTTGGGGAAGGGTCAGGCAGGCAGCAAGGGTCTGTCACTGCACTGAGCTGAGGCTCTGGAGCATGGCTTGCCACCCCAGCGTGTGCATGTTGAACTTGATGACTGGTTTTTGGGACTGAATGGAAGTAATTGCTTTCCCTTCTGCAGCCACCAGCCCTGTGTGTTACTGTGGGGGCCTGAGCCCCCGTTTGTGATGAGTTAATGTCAAATCCTTGTCTGTATTTTGATGTGGCAGCTGTAGGTATGTCGTGTCTGTTGAAACGGGAAAGAACATGACTTAAAAATATGTCTAGAGATGGAGAAGTTGAGAAGACTTTTGACTCTGGTAGTGGGGTTAGATGTTGTGTTCACTCTCCTACCATGGTACATTTGAGCTAGTGTCTTTTTGCTGTGGGTAGATTTTTATATTCTGAGGTTTTAGTTATATAGAAAATTGTGTAGACCTAACACAGCATAAGGAATGATGAAGGTACTTTTCTTTTCCCTTAAAAACTTATGAAAAATTGTTTTGAAGCCTGCAGTAACCATGTATGTCCTTATTCTGCACGTGGCATTGTGGAAGGTTGCCAGTGTGCCACATCTAAGGGAAGAGAATTTGGCCACCACACAACATAACAGCAAATACTTTATATTGGCAGAGGTTTTGGTCACTTCCTTGAGGTATACTGCAGAAGAGACAGTTGAGAAAATGTCATTTTAACAACAGTTGCACACAGCATCTGTTAATCAGATTTATGAAATGAAATAATTGTGCCAACTTCCAAAATTTAGTAGGCAGCCTCCAATTTTGTCCCCCTGCTACGGGTGATGCTGCTTGTGGGACAACCCTGGGATGCTGCAATAAGAAGTTTGCAGAATAAGTGTTCTGAGCTCTTCTGTGAGTGTTGGCATAACCTGCTGCAGTCTACAGCCTGGCCTTCAGAGTCCTCTGAGGCTTGTGTGCAGCCTGGGAGGGACGTCACTGTTTAAGCAGAGTGTGCACATGAATTTACTCATCACCCTGCACCAGGATGCTTCAGGCCAGGATGGGAAAGGCTTAGAACAAACTTCCCCTCTAGAGTACTATTGCTGTAGTGCCCAGGGGCAGTTTAAAACTTTAATATGAAGGAAGCCCTTCCATGCTGGAAGGTAAAACTGCATCTAATAGCAGCAGTTCTGGTACTGTGAGTAAAATAAATGGTTTTACACAAAGTTGGGTTGAGGTGTTAGCTACCTATCTAACATACTCCACCTTGCTGCTGCAGGATGAGCTCCAGACTCACTGGAGTGTGTTGGCTCTGCTCCCACACAGAAGTGGTGGTTCATACACTTGCTGAAAGCTGTGAACTCAGTTTCTCAGCCAGCTCCACGTGTTCTGTCCAGCAGACACTGAAAACTGCTCCTCAGTAATCCTGGGGACAGCTTGCTGGGA